AAATGATACTCAAAGTTCTTTTCTTTACAATAAAAGGCAACTGAAAGGCTGATAGTGTTTTCTCCACAGATGTCATACGAGAATCTGAAGATGACAAGCCCACGATGAGAAAAAAATTGAAGGGAATATTCAAGACAATTACACAAAAGTAACGTTTTCGGCTTTGACCATACACTGCCAGTGATACTCGTGTTACTAGTGTTACTCTGTTACTAGTGTTAGTGTTACCGGTGTTATTAATGTTACTAGTGTTACCGTTTCTATGTTGAGCAGTGAAATGATAGCCATTGCAACACCAATCATTTCGCTACTCAGCAGCCATAAAATCGGCAACACGAGTAACAATGGTAACACCACACGGGTAACACCCACAACACGGGTAACACTGGTGATGTATCGTCGAGTCATTTGTAACTTAATAAGTATAGTGCACACCTTACGCGCTACTTGACGAACTTTAGGATCAGAACGCTCATTTCCGCAGATTGCTCCTTGTCTATTTTGATGTGATTGTATATTTTAAGTTAGTGATACGCCTTGTGCGGAAATCTACTCTGGAAAAGGTTGACTGAGAAGTTACTAGTAAGATAGACGTCGGTTGAAGGGCAAAATCTGCAAACACACATATTAAGTTACAAATGAATCGAGATTATAAATACGAAGTTCAGTCTTGATTTGCGTGGCACGAGGTGGAGATAGCAAATAAAAAAATCTGTTTCATTTATTTTAACCATCCGATCTAATTATGACAGAGTTCATACTCAAATTCTTTATTTTCAGACATAGAACCAGTGGCGTCAACGAGTAGTGGCAAGAGTGGCTTTTCTGAAGAAGGAACATCTAGTGACGCAGATGCAAGCCGGCGGCAAGGCAGCATGACCTCTTCGTCAATACCTTCTGTCCACTGTCGTCGGCTTACTTTCCGTTTACCTCCGAAATTCGCTCAGCGTTTGAAGCGCATCGCGAATAAGCAGCCAAGCACCCTGGGACGGTTGGGTTCGTAATTTTATTTTTTAGATTTTGTCAGGACGCAAATAATCAGCGCTCATTGCAGGCGTAGCAAAGGTCAAAGTTGGAGATGACGAAACGGTTTCCGTCAATGACGTACCTCCTGTGCAACCGATGAAGTTGGAGGAGAGGCGGCCCGAACAACCTATAGAAAGAGTGTACGTAATTTTGCTTGGTAGCTTTTCTTATTTTTTACGCGAATGATGCTTATTCCAGAGAATCTCGGCAAGCCGTACCTCCTCCACCTCAACCACTCCATCCTCCACCAGGAAGTGCAGGTCCGGTGTGTCAGCCCCCACCTGGATACCACGCCGTCGCGCAGCATCAACAGGAAGTTGGCCCTTCTGTTGCTCCACACCCAATGCAAAGACCTGCGCCAATCAACAACAACAGTCCTTTGCTGGTTAACTTGTTAAGGTGATCAGAATTTTGAAATGGAGAAGTTTTCTTGCAATTCTTTGTGCTTTCAAAGCATGTTTTGCAGTTCACAACAACCACCGGGTATGGTTGGTGGGCCACCGCCGAGTGTTGCGCCACATCATCAGGCATACTCTCCTGCTGGGACATATATGTACCCTGGAGGAGCTGCACCACATCAGCATCCTCATCCTTCCGCTGTTCCGCCGAATGCTGCTCCGCCCGTTATGGATCCACAACAGCACTTGGCAATGCAGCAGCAGGTAATCATAT